AAAACTCAAAGAAATCCAGTCTACACTCTGGACTTTACACAATAATCTAATGGCCACGATGTAGCGATGTAGTTTCAAAATTTCTTTTCAAATTGTAAGAACGAATTTGCTCAAAATAACGCAAAAACAATCAATTTTCACTTGTTAGTTAAATATATGTGTCCTAATAGTGTTTTTAGCAGCGTGGGACACATATATGACTATCAACATATTTAAAAAATGTGTTTTGGTGTTTCGTGACCCTTTAAGTAATTCTTCTCTCTTTAGTTTTTATTTAAATCCTTAAAGGCAGTTCCTCTGAAAATAAACTAAATTAATAAACTAAACAAAATGAACTTCACATTCAGTTATAAGCAATTTAAAAAAAGTTTTAATTCAACCAAAAAATTTAATTTCAGTATAATTCATTTGCATTGTAACCCAAAAGTCTAGCAACAAAGTAAAAAAAAAAAGAAACTGTACAATGAATGAGTGATATAAAATATGTATTTTACACACAGGAGTGTTATATTTTGATGTTTGATTTTCTAGTTTGTTTGGCCATTAGGCTAATTTTGTTTGCCCACTGCACTAGTTTGTTTTTGAAAATCTGGCAACCCTGCCTAAACCCCACCATTTCAGGCACCGTGAGAAAAGAGCTGAGGCTGCAGTAGATATTATAAGAAAGTTAAAGTGTTATTTGGTCTTAGAGGGATGTAAACCTATTGTAGGAGACCAACAAAACAAATGAGGAACCTTTAAAATAGCATAATAGGGGCCTTTTAATGGCATTTGGCTAACTAAATAGAGCCTATTATTGCAACACCATTTAAAGTTTCTATTTAATGTAATTGCTGTCTGGGAGGAACAACCGAGTAATTATTATCCAGTTCGACGGTCATTAATTTGGTGCTTTGTGTTTAAGGTCAGTGTTCCAGGTTTGTGTTTACGATATTAGTACTTTAATGAATCCTGAGAGTCAGTCTGATGAATCCAGAGAAACTCGCGCACAAGTAAAAGCTGGCTAGTTGTGCACATTTCGTTTCTGTACAGTCAAATTTACAGCCGCCTACTGTTACACTCATTTGAAGAAAGAAAACAGGGCTAAATCAAATGGTGACATGTGCGGAACTGCTTTATTGCAGCCGGCCAGAGGAGGAGAGATGCAGGAGTGAGATTTCATTATCCTGTTGCTCTTGGCACCGGTGTTGTGCTCCTCTCGCAATGAACACCACATCTGCAACTGATACGGCTGCTGCTTTTACAGAAAAAGGCCTGCTTTTACAATGTCTCGCATGTGAAACCCAAGAAATCCACGTTCTCTTAAAACATTAATGAAACTGCTCTAAAGTGTGAAAGTTGTGCAAAGGAAAAATTGCACATTCGCAGAATGATGACTGGTGTTTTACTTTTTTCTGCTGTTTATTTAATGACAGTTTGTTTTGCATCTTTTATCATTTAATTGATAAAGACTTTTCCATTTCTCTGTTAAAAATTCACATTTGAATTCAAGGTAAGCATTTTAAAGTATGTTTTATTTATCATTGTTTTTTGAATAAGAATTATGGATGAACATGTTATACTGTGCATATACACAACAGTTTGGTTCTTGAATCTGATTGGGTGATAGCCGTCAGATATTAAAGTACTATCAGCACTCGTACAGCCTCTTCACCCTTGTGTATTATTCCTCCAACACGAGGACTAGTTTGACAAATATTGCAGCTGTTGGGCAACATAATGTACTTTTGAGGCTTTTTTAGGTGAGAATGTAGTTGTTTATTTTGCAACTTCATGCGGTTTATTTATAAGGACAGCCATATCGCACTGCTGCTCGTGTGATATTGCTCATATATATATATATAAAATACAAGACAGAAATTACAAAAACAAATAACTAAATGCAAATATTTTGAACGTTTAATGCTCTAAAGCAGTTACAAATAAATTATAAATTGCAAATAATAATAATAATCAAATTAAATATAAATATATCAAGTATATCAATAAAAACTACAAAGACACTAAAATAACACTTATTCACTATGAATATGTACACAAATGTACATATTAAATAAGTAATTCAATAGGTTTTGGACTTAAAAAAACAGGGTAAACGTATACTTGATTCCTTTTTTTGAACATAGAAATTGAACTTATATAATATACAAAAAAATGTATGGATGTACGCATGTAAAAGATATTGCCAAAGTATGACTGCATGCACTTATATTTTGTCAAAAGAGACTACAACCAAAAATATTAATAAACCTGATTCAACATCGTCAAACCGGGACTCCTGTTGTGTGACTGAAGCATCCTTGTTTACTCTACGCAGGTGATTCTAGTGTTTATTATTTATTGATTTCAGTGGTTATGTTTTTTATTGATATACTTGATTTATTTGATTATTATTATTATTTGCATTTTTTTATTTATTTGTAACTGCTTTACTGCATTAAAAATTCAAAGTATTTGCATGCTATTAAAAAAAAAACATTTAGATCATAGTTTAATGTCATGAAATTTAAAAAAAAGGGACTTGTCTTTATATCACTCCAATATGAGACACTATACATATATTTCTGTCCAAAAGTTGTAAAATGTAAAAAATAAGGTTAAAAAAGTAATGACAATATGTTTTTTATTTTTATTTTACTTGAACTTATTTTTATACTATAGGCATGTTTAGGCAACAGAATTTTTAAGTAATGCCAACTTAAACTTGATGTTTTAAGTCTGTTTAATTGATGTAATTAAAAAAAAAAACTTAATTTGATTCAACTTAAAAATTTAAAGCAGCAGCATTTTTACAGTGTGATAGGAGCCTAAGATTGCATCTGACTGTAAAACAACACAATATTGCGCCCTCGTGTGGCAAAGCGAAGACTACATTAGTGTCATGAAGTATTTTATTATTAAAATAGTAGATATTTGTAAGCATTGATCTAAAATAATCATTTTATTCTTCTTTCTATCCTCGTAGCAGCCAGCTTTTTATTACTATTTTTTCTGCAAACAGGTTTGATTTTCTCACAGGCACTTTCCATAGTCCAGACCCTGGTAACCTGTTTATTTAGGTGTTTGCTGATTAGAAATTCTCATGCTGAGCTCTTTTACGCACAATGTGTATGGAACAAAACTGCTCTGCAATGCTCAATGCTCTCTCTCTCTCTCTCTCTCTCTCTCTCTCTCTCTCTCTCCCTTTCTCCCCCTCTCCCCTTGTCTCTTTAGTTAAATAATGGTGTAGTTAAAAAAGCATGTTTACTGCCATGCAACCTTCATGAGCACAGATACTGGTACTAATACTAGAACAGTTATCACCAGAGTTCCCCAGTTAGTGATTACATTATGAATGGCAAACATTTTATTGTCTTAAATGTATTCTAAAATGTTACATTTGAGAAATAGTAAGCATTATTTCATTAAATATGCAGCAATTTGCACACTTTCGAGCACAGTAGTCTGGACATTGGACAACAGGTTCAAAATCTGTCTGAAAGATTTGAATCTGATCTGAATCAATTGGAATCCATGTGATTATGTTTCTGCTTACTCATGTACATAACCAATCAGTACAATCAGTACACCCCAATGAATATGCTGGAAACATTCAAGGAGAAATCAAGATAACCATAAACAATATTAAATATAATCAATATGTATTGCATGTTTGCTTTTTGCAACACCTCATTTGAAT